GAGAGACTCAGAGACATGAGAAAGAATCGGTAGGACCTGCGTGCTTACTGACGTCAGGGATCTTAGGAGGAAAGCTTTGTTGAAAAATCTGCTGTTCCTGTAATTCCCATCTGCCATGGAAGGTAAACTTTAACTTCAATTTTGTTTTTCTTTGTTACTTTCTCTGCCAGCCCTAATGTCGATTCGCTTTTGCTTTTGTTTCTTGTTTGAATTGCTTGGATTAAACTGAAATTGATTGGATTTTCTGAACTATGAATAGAATTTCTGGTGAATTGTTACTGCGAACTATTTTTGTTCAGTGGAGTTGCGCGAATTCGCTGTAGTTTTGGGTCATTTCATGGCTGTGGCGATCCGAGTTTGCCCAATTTTATTTCTATTTTTTTGGGGGAACTTGTGGTCCTGAGCTTCATACTATTTCGTGTTTTTGAATCGACTCCGGTTGATTGATTTTCCAAAGGTGAATTGTGAATTGAATAAATTCTACATGTTCGTTTGGGTGGGTTGTGATTGTTTGAAAACATGTGCATCTGTTTGAAAAGGGTTGACTCGGAGTTGAGAGCTGATTGAATTCTTTGGAGATTGCATTGACTGATGAGTCCTAGTGATGAACATTAAAGGCATGAGCTTTTTGCGATTGAGTGTGCCGAGCTCGTTTTTTGGGGTTTGTCTTGTTGAATGGTGTGATTGAATTAGATCATCTTAAGCATGGAGCTTTATTTAATTTTCTTTCAATCTTGCCGATCATTTTATAATTGGATATCCGTTAGCTTTTTAGTATATAGAACTAGTCTTGGTATGATCTCAAGTTTGTTCCTTATTAGTGAAAAGAACATTAATTGAATGCTCTGCAAACCTCTCGACACAATTATGTTACCTCATTGGCAAATTAAATTTTGCTCTATACATGTGATACATGCAATACATTTTATAATCTTCCATTTTTTCTCTTGTTTTATGTGAGGTTGTTTGTGCGTTGATTACAGTATATCAAATCTCTCGTAAATTTACTATAGGAAGAAGAGAAATTATGATTTTACCATAAACATGATAATTATATTCCAAATTAGACTTTTTCATTTTCCATGTTCCACCACTATGAGGAGGATCGTTAACAGAATTTTTTTTTAACTTTGGTTGACTATACATAGCGAGTGTGGAATCCACTCTGTGGTTTTTAGTAGTTTGATATTTGGTTTGATCTCCTGATTTCTCGTAGTCAAGCAAATAATATTGGACCGGTCGTTTACCAACTATCAGACATATGACATCTGTTCACGGTTCACCCAGCAAAACATTTCAACCCGCAAAATCTCTTTAAGATTGTTTAATTTAATATAGAGTATCATAAGATATTTCAATTGGGGTAAATGATCTCAGACTTCCTTATGCTGTAATATCAATTTGTGACAAAATATTATGTCTGTACCTGCTTTAATTTCAGACTTCCTTATGTCTGTACCTGCTTTAATTTCACATAAGCTAATCTGGAATCAACCAGATGTTGTGCTTTTGGTAGGATTTGAACCTACTGTTTTATAGTTGCAACAGTCCTAGGAAACAGCTGACCCGTTGAGATCGGTCTTATACGGCGGATTTCGTTCTTCATTTTCTGTATGATTTTTAATTTCGCACATTTGTTGTTGATATGGTGGTTTTGGTGAAAAACGGATGACGATTTGGCAACCAGAGTTATGACGCCATTACACCATTTGGTGAAAATTCTTAAAATTTTTCGAGTTACGCTCTTTGCTTGCATATGTTTCTCTCAGTAATGGACGTTCCACTTCTTAAAATTCGTGAACTTTTAGGCATACTCTCGGATAGAGATTCCGTGGAATCTGCAGCCAAAACATCTTCGTCCGGCGGTAGGGCTCACGACAGGAAGGAGTTCCTCCACAGATTCATAGACTGCGAAAACCTAAGAAGAACACTCACAAGCTGGCTCGAGGATTTAGCCGAACACATGGCAGCAGCCCCAGCCTTCGACCCTCCTTTCGAGAGGATCGATCTTCAGAAGTTTGACTATGCGCTCGAAGGCGTTCAGTTCCAGCAGCTCGTCCGAATGCCGAGCGCCGTTTATGAGCCAACATCTGGCGCTTTGGAGGGAAATGCCTTTCTAGCTTTAGAGGATTTCATGCACACAAGCGCCAGTAGCCTGTGGGAGGCCTTCTGGGGAGAGGAAAGTGACGACCTAATGCCTTTCTACGTCTCATCTTTGTATGACCGAAACCTGAAGTTCTACCAGGCTGAGAAGGTCATTGCCAGGGGTAAAACCGGAAGGTTATGTGCCTCGGCCATAATGCTGAAAAATCCGAGACATCCACAGGGAAAATGGGACGATGTAGTTGAGCTGGCACTTTTGAGGCCTGACGTCCGGAGTCTTGATCCGACGGATGAGGGCGATGGTGATGATTCTTACCCATCTTTCTCTCTCATTGGTGAAGCTTTGTTTTTCGCCCTCCGTGTGTTGATCGCGAGGAGCGTGAGCAGATCGAGTGTTCCTGCGAGTTCAAATTACGTTTTTGTCCTTGTGGTGGATTCGCAGCACGGGAGTGTCGTGAGAGTCGAAGGCGACCTGAATAAGATGGATTTCGATCTCAACAGTAATATTTATGAATCTGCTGCCTCTTGGTTTAAGAATCACTCGCACGTTTCTATTTCTCCAGTAGAGAGGATTTGGAACAATCTCGGCAATGCAAACTGGGGAGATGTTGGTGCTTTACAGGCGCTTTATGCTACTTATCACTCCATAGCACAATTTGCTGGTATGCCTAAGAACGCAATCGAAGATTTAGCCGCCGACCATATTTGCCGCCTTCAGGCAAGGAAAATCGAGAGACAAATAGCAGATAACAACTGTACTGATAGTCTCAATAATACAAAGCTGAACGGTAATAATGGCTTGTTTCTGTCCCAACACCGCACGGCTTCCCCGGAAATTGTAGAACTAAACGAGGAATCCGTTAAAGTGGACCATTCTCAAAAGCCGGCCAAGCTTCTAGAAGTTGGTGACGTCGTGCTTCTAGAAGATTCCAACTCGCAAAACGGTTACAGGGTAGATGAGGTCATGAACGACAGCGAGTTCGTGTACTACATCGCATCCCGTGTCGATAAACCTGGTGAAGAAGATCTGTTCCTGTATGCTGGGCCCCACCCTTCACAGATGGAGCCCGCATGGGAGGATATGAAGCTTTGGTACCAAGTCCAGAGGCAGACCAAAGTACTCGGGGTGATGAGACAGAGAGGCGTGTCGAGCAAATACCTTCCCCGGATAATTGCTTCGGGCCGGGCCATTCATTCGGGACCGTGCCGGAAATCAAGCTCGGGCCGTAACATTAACTGCGCCAACCCGTGGTGTGGGACCCCTATCCTGGTGACTGCTCCGGTGGGCCCGACCGTGGCTGACCTGGTCAAAGGAGGCGAGTTCGGCCCAAACGAGGCTATAAAATGTTGCCACGGCTGTTTATCCGCTCTGTCGGCTAGCGGTTCGGCTGGGGTCCGGCATGGGGACATAAGGCCCGAAAATATCATCCGTGTGAAGAGATCGGATATGAGTGCGTCGCATTATGTCGTGATTGGTTGGGGCCACGCGATATTGGAAGATCGGGACAGGCCGGCAATGAATCTCCATTTTTCGTCTACCTCT